CTCATAAAAAGCATCAAGTTCCGAATCATCAGCTGCTGATGTTGGAGAATAGCAGTTGATGATAGTGATGTTTTCTCATGCAAAGGACGGAGTCGAAGGATAGCCAGGCGAGGCGATAGGATCTCATGCAAGGCGAAAAGATGGACAACAGATGGGTGTACGACAAATCCAACGCCTCCGACGTTCCGTGGTGGAACATTCACACCACGAACGATGAGTGTGCCATCACTCAGCTGAGCCTCGCCCGTCTTCCTAGACTTTGTTTCCTGCAAGGCGATTACGTGGTAGTTGACGCGCCCTGCAGCTACGAGAAGGGCGTGAAGGTCGGCGTTGGTGGAAACTGTCTTGGCGTTGTAGGTACAGAGCATGAGACACCATGGCAAGTCGTTGACGTGTCCCTTTGGTTCAAAATCCATAGCATCCTGTGCAACCTGACACTGGTCTTGATGACATCCGACGCCTTAGATGTAATCCAGTATGCAGGGCTTCTTTTCCTATTACATGCTGTAAAGGCAATGAGTAAAGATCTCCCTAAACATTAGCAGTGCCTTGCCAGGGCCCTGCCAAGCTTTCACCACAGCTGACAATCGCAGACCTCATGTGGTTCAGGGAGATATGTGCCACCTAGCGACTGAATCAGCCAGAGGGTGGTGCTTCTGGCATTGCCTACTCTTAGCTGGGCATCCGGGGAACCGAAAACGTCGAACTTCTTCTCAGCTTGGGATACCCTGCTGGAGGATAAACCTCCGCCGTACTTCGCAGTTCGACACCCGTCACCCCGCGCCATGGTGAGGCGGTAGACCATCACGGGGGAATTAACTACTAATTTATATAATCTCAATGGATTAATCTGACGTGTGTCTTATGATTTCCTAAAGGTCATTGGATATTGACCTATCGTCTACTACGTACGAAGGGACCGGAACAGTTTGCTTTTTTAAAGCTAATGTAACACTTCTACTGCAATACTTATTCAAACTTTAAACAAGCTTTAACTCTTTTTGCAAATTCATCTATGATGAAGGCGTACTCAACCAAATTGCCAGCTTCTAAGAAATGAAAGGATATTGATATGTAGATTCTCTCTAAAGTAGGACCTTATTATCTAAGCTTACAGCAGCCGTTTATTGTACTAAGAATTAGCCTGGAAATAAGGTTCTAAACATCATCAAAAAATACTCTTTGTAATGTGG